ATGGATTAGACTTGGAGATATCAGTGTGAAATCATGTTTGACTCAACATCAGTACACATAGAAATATTTACGGATGTGTGTACATATATGGGTTAGTATACATACCTATATTTCTTTGACCTGCAGCTGAGAGGACGTAGAGGCAATGATACCCCAGCAGCAATGAGCACACCTAGCTTGCAGATGCTGCTGTCTAATACCATGCTCCAATAAAAGAAACCAGGGCTCCAATTCTAGGACTGGGCCAAGGACTATGCAAAATATTTCCTGGAGCATCTTATAGTGGCAGAAAGTAATGAAGTGCTACACACACACACACACACACACACACAATGGTGAGGGTATGTCAAAGAGACACAGAAATCAACTGAGAGACACCCAGTGGCCGAAGCTGGAAAAACTTGAGCAACCAAATAATTAAGGTAGTATTGGATTATGCACCAAAGTATAAAATAAATATTAATGAGTCTATACTGATATAAACAAATGATGGAATTAATAAGTAGGGGAGAAGAGACAAATCTCCTGTGCATAATTCCAAATAATTTATGAAGATGTTCCATCCTCAAAGAGGTGAGGCATCAACTCCCATTCCTGAAATGTCGGCTGCAGTGATTTCCTTCCTTAGAGGATGGTATGGAAAGGAATGGGGGAAAGTAGCTTTATGGTGGAGAAACCTGACAAACACTACCTCAGCCAGGTGATCAAGCTCAGCATTGTCAGAGGAAATAATCAAGAAACAGTCTATAATAGGAAATGAAAAGAGTTTTATTCAAGCCAAGCTAAGGACTATAGTGTGGGAAATACAGATTCAAGAAGCACTTGAATTGTGTTCTGCCGGACTACAAAATGGGGAAGGCCTATCTAGGCAAAAAGCACGAAGTTACATAAGCTGTTTGTCAAAAATTAGGATTGGGATGGACCTAGAGTCTGTCATACAGAGTGAAGTAAGTCAGAAAGAGAAAAACAAATACCGTATGCTAACATATATATAGGGAATCTAAAAAAAAAAAAACATGGTCACGAAGAACCTAGGGGCAAGACGGGAATAAAGACACAGACCTACTAGAGAATGGGCTTGAGGACACGGGGAGGGGGAAGGGTAAGCTGGGACAAAGTGAGAGAGTGGCATGGACTTATATACACTACCAAATGTAAAATAGATAGCTAGTGGGAAGCAGCCACATAGCACAAGGAGATCAGCTCGGTGCTTTGTGACCACCTAGAGGGGTGGGATAGAGAGGGGGGGAGGGAGGGAAACACAAGAGGGAAGAGATATGGGAATATATGTATATGTATAGCTGATTCACTTTGTTATAAAGCAGAAACTAACACACCATTGTAAAGCAATTATACTCCAATAAAGATGTTAAAAAAAAAAAAGAATTACGATTGGAACTGGCAAGAAGTAAGGGTGTTTCTTAAGCAAGAATTGGTTGGGGTCCAAAATGGTTGCATAGTTACCAGGAGAGACCTTAAGACCATAAGGTGGCAGCTGTTAGCTGTTAGCAGATACTGTTTTGAGAATGACTGGTGGTGTCCTTGAGTTGGATACACTTCAGAAAATTCAGGTTCTCAGTGATGCAGGAATGTGTCTGAAACCACATCCACAATGGCCAGCCAGATCCATTTTGGATGCCTGAACCACAGTTTAACATCTTGTCAGGACAAAGACCGAACATGAAACATGACAGGGGTACATTCCTTCAAGGTTTCAAAAGAGACAGTCTAGCACATACACATGACCTTGGTGTCTAGTGGGGGAATCTCATCTTCAAAGGAGTACTAGCATTGATGTCACGGGAAGGGGGTAGGCATCCATCCATATCTTCAAAGTGGACATTCTAAACAATCTGGTATAACTGCATTCTTTATGTTGTTGTGGTTAAGGCAGATGTACAATGGATATTTGATAGGCCGTCCTAGTTATCATCATAAAGTTCAAGCCAAATCACATATAAGCCAAAATGACTTCCCCATACCTCAATATGTGAAAATGTCTTCCATCAACATCAACAGTTATAATCAAGTTGATAGCATGTACCTTTGATATGCTGTGATGAGAATGGCAATTTACCTCTGTGACCTTCCTCCCCAAAACTCATAACTCATCTAATCATGAGAGGGAAAATTCAGACAAATCCCAGTGAGGTAACATTCTCCAGGATACCTGACCAGTATTCCTCAAAATTATTAAGGTCATCAAAACAAAGGAAAGCATGAGAAATTGTCACAGCCAAGGAGAACCTAAGTAGACATGATGACTAAATGTCATGTGTTATCCCGGATAGGATCCTGTAACAGAAGGACATTAGGTTAAAAATAAGGAAATCTGAATAAAGTATGACTTTGATAATAACATGCCAACATTGGTTCATTAATTGTAGCAAATGTACCCTATAATATAAGATGTTAATAATAGGGGAACCTGGGCGCAGGGTATATTTGAAATCTCTGTACTATCTTTCAATTTTTCCTTAAATCTAAAATCTTCTTTAAAAATAAAGTTTATTTAAAAATATGTAGTCCTTGTACAAAGACAACTACAAAACTTTACACAGGGATATGGAAAAAGAATAAGTAGAAAGACTTATCATATATCTCGATAAAAAATCACTTTTGCAAAAATGTTTCTCCCGGAATATTTATTCAAAAATTTAGCTCAATTTCAATCAAAATAGCAAAAAAAATTTTTTTTGAAATTAAAAAAAAATTTATAAATTTCATCTGAAGAACTAATAGGAAGGAAGAGCCAGAAGATTTTTTTAAACCTAAATGAAAATGAGCACAGATATTAAATCAAATATTAAATTTATAAACATTAAAACAGTGTGATCTTGTTGCCAGAAAAGATAGCTCATTGGAACAGAATACAATATTCCAAAACAGGTATACTGCCATATATACAAGTATATGAATATTGAATATAAGGTTGGAATTTCAAATCAAAGAGGAAATAGGAGATGATTTAATAAATAATGTTGGAATTTAATAAATGGTGTTTATATCTGAGCTGGTTGTCTAAGACATACACAGATATGTAAAGTACTCTATATGTACCAAACTAGATTCCATATGGATTAAATAATTAACTTTAAAAAGTGAAAAAAAAACCCCAAAATACAGGTGATGATGTATCTGATAGCTAGCAGAAATAGCTTTTTTAGGCACACAAAGGAAAAAATAATGAAGTAAAATATTGGCATATTTGCATAAATATTAAAAACTTTTCTGTGTTAAAAAAAAGTCCCCCTACCCCCTCAAAAAAAAAAGTGATGAACTGGAAACAAAACTTTGCAACGTCTATGAGAAAGGATTAAAATAGTTAAATATAAATAAATTCCTATATATCTGTAAGGAAAAAAAGTAACACTTCAATGGAAGAAAGGTCCAAGAATACTAGAAGATAATTCACAAAATAAGACCGCATAAGCCTAAGTAACTTAAAAATGGTTTAGCTTGATTAGAAGTAAAAAAGAAATGTAAATTAAAGTGTCATCATCTTTCACCTTTCATCAGCAAAGGTCTTTTTTATTTTAATGACAAAGCTAATTGTTGTTTAGGAGCAGAGAAAAATAGATCGTCTCTCATACTTTTGGGGGGAGTGTAAACTGATGCAATATTTTTGGAGGACCACCTAACAATAAAGTATCAAGTGCCATAAGAAATGTGCAGTTTCTGACCCAGCAATTCTTCCTCTAGGACTATATTAACAGAAAATACTTGTGAACCATGATGTAAACACTTCAAGCCAGGATAACTTATAGAGCAAAAATAAGAATTTAAACCCTTAAAAAGGGGGGACTTCCCTGGTGGTCCAGTGGTTAAGACCTGGCACTTCCAATGCAGGGGGCACCAGCTGGATCCCTGGTTGGGGAACTAAGATCCCACATGCTGCGCTGCGAGGCCAAAACAAAAAGGCGAGGAGGGGGCGCGCGGACTGATACATTGAACTATAGTTTGTCCCCAGGACAGAATGTTTGATGACAAGCAAAAATCTTGTTGAAATTATACAAAAAGGCAAATGTTTAGGGACGGAAAACTGATCATAGGCCGCTACGGCGGGAGCTCAGGGAGGGGTTGATGAGGAAGGAGCATGAGAGAATTGGGGGATGGAGGAGATGGGTGATGAAAACGTTCTGTATCCGAGCCGGTGTTTCACGACTGTGAAAGTTTGTCCAAACTCATAGAAAAGTACACTCAAAAGTTGAGCTTTGGGACTTCCCTGGCGGTCCAGTGGTTAAGACTCCACCCTTCCATTGCAGTGGGTATGGGCTCCATCCCTGGTCCAGGGAAAGCAGGGCGGCCAAAAAAAGTTGAGTTTTACTCTGTGTAAATTATACCTCAATAAATTTAACTTTAAAAAAAATCCTGTTGAAGGATATTAAACAGCCTGGGGAAACAAAAACGGCCGATTAAATAAAATGAGTAATTTACAAAGTAGTGTGCAAGTGTGATTGGAACTTGGAGGTGAGGTTACACATTCAGAGAGTGACGGAGATGGGGCGGTCCTAGCGAAATAGCCTGGAAATGCACCAAAATCTACCAGCGTCTCCCTCTGGAAGTGAAATTAAATTTTCTCCTTACGTTCTGTTTTTTGTTCTGTTTTGTGGCGAACAACTCTTTTGTCATCAGGGGGCAAAATGTTACAACTTGGAACCCCGGTCCGCTTGCAACGGCTTTCAGGTGCTTTAGGGCTCTTTTCCTTTCGGTGGAGCCACCAAACAAGAGAGAACCACCCGGGGGGAGCCAGCAGAGGCGGCGCCGGGAAGAGAAGGACTAGGGGGATGAAGGTGGGAGGCGGGTAAGACCGGCGAGTAGCGGTGGGAAGCGGGATGGGGGGCGGGCGAGCAGGCGCGCAGATTGTGCGTTCCTGCGTTTTACTGGGGTCGAGATGCTGCGAGGGGCCGGCCGCGTCCCTAGTGGTTCTCCAGGAAATAACAGCATCTCGTGCAGCTTAGTCATTTCCTGAGCTCAGCTGCAGCGAGGAGGGCGTCACCATGATAAGTAAGTTTCTCTTCCCCCTCAGGCTGGTGGCCTGGGCAGGGGGCGGGCCTCCCAGACCCCAACCCACGGAGGGCCAGGGGACTCGCTTCTTTCCCTCACTCCTTCAATCAACACTCTCTCTCTCTCTCTCTCTCTCTCTCTCTCTCGCTCAAGAACGGGCGGCTGCTGCTGCGATAGGAGGAGGTGACTTTCCTGGATCCCCGCATCGCCAGGCCTTCAGCTGGCCTGGGTCCCAGGATGGGAGGGAGGCCTTAGAGAGGTGGTGCTGCCGGGCGTGTGAGAGCTGGTCCGCCAGCCCCCCTCCGCTCCCGGAGCCGCGCGGGTGAATCTTAGGGGCCGAGAGCCGTACTCGCTCGGAAAAGGTCACCGCGATCCCCGGCGGGGTTTGCTGCTAAAAACAGCAGTGGTTTATTGGTTTATTTCACCCCTACATTTACACAGACACAAACCAGGAGCCCAGGGTGGGGTAGTGACTTCCCCGTAGTCACCCAGCAACTTAGAGACCCAACCACGGGCCTACTCTAACCTACTGTCCCAAGCTGGCTCCACGCCCCCATCTTCTTTACCTTGGGACCCCTCTCCAAGCGGCTGCCTCCCGTCTGCTCCGAGCAGACAGTCCCCAGAAACTGTCAAGGAATTCCTAAGGGAGTCCACTCCCCTGAGTCCACGCCCCGACCCAGCTCCTCTCCCGCTACAGCCCTGGCCGTGGGGGCTGTGCCCGTGGTGCTGGGCGCCGTGGGCTTCACCGGGGCAGGAATCGCAGCCTCCTCCATAGCGGCCAAGATGATGTCAGCGGCCGCCATTGCTAATGGGGGCGGAGTTGCCGCCGGCAGCCTGGTGGCCACTCTCCAGTCCGTGGGTAAGTGTCCGGGCGGGAGGAAGTGGGGGCGGGGTGTGACACACCAGCACAGGATTCAGGCCAGCGGCTAAGCCGGAGGGAGAGCCTGTCTGCTCTCTCCAGTTTCGTGGGCATCAATGTCCCTGGTCCTTTGTCTCTGCCGCACTGTCCTCCCTGAGTCCTGGGTAAAGTTTGGGCGCAGGAGGGAAGCGGAGCGGTGAGGGTGTTCTGGAAAAGAGAAGGAGGGAAGGAGCCCAGGATATGTGATAGCTGGGCTCTGGGTCTAGCCCTACCCAAATCTGACACCTGGGTGGCCTAAGCAGGTCCCCTCCCGTCTCTAGGCCTCAGTGGGACCTGTAGCTCTTGGGGTCTGTGGTTGACTCTCTCTCTGTCTCTCACTTCCCATGAATTCACCCCCTCCCTCTGTCCAAAGCAGAGCCCTGGGGGATTCAGGACCCAGGGGAGGCATCCAGGTGGGATCTCTGGGCCTCAGGCCTCCGGAGGGGCCCCAGCCACTAGCCACTGCACCCTTCCTGTGCTCACCCTCTGTCTCCCACAGGGGCAGCCGGACTCTCCACATCATCCAACATCCTCCTGGGCTCCGTTGGGTCAGCTTTTGGGGCTTTGCTTTTGAAGGCGCAAAAGGCACCTTCCTCTCCTCCAGGTGGACCCAGAGCTGAAGGGGACCAGCCAGGAGAAAACGTACCCCAAGCCGAACCTCCAAAGCTCCCACTCAGTTCAGAGAAGCACGAGAAATAAAGATCATCTGCACACGCACCTTCCTGTCTCTGTTCCTTGCAGCCCTGGGGGGTTGTGAGTTGTGAATTGGAAGCTTCCAGTTCTCCCCATTCTCCCAGGCTGCCTTGTGGTAGAGGGGCAGAGGGAGGTGGCAGGCTGATCAAGCACAGAATCACTTGGCAAGAGGCTCTGGTTGGTCCCCATCCTACAGGGGATGGGCTGTATAACCCAGGGCCACTTGTGCACCATTGGTGGGTCTCAGTTTACCCCTCACTCAATGATGGGGTTGACAAAGCTTCCTAGGGAGGCAGAGGTGAGGGGTAGCCAGGATGCATATCGAGCCACTGACCCCAGAGCCCTCTGCCTTTCCTCATTAATGGGCACCAGACATCCAGAGGTGAGCAGGACCCTATTCAAAGTGCTGTGGGGAGGCTGACATGCAGACCACCAGGGCAAGGACAGGACAGTATGCCAGGGTTACAGTGGGGCTCTGGGCACCTCGAGAGGAGGAGATGGAATCAGGAATGGTCACTATGCTGTGTCTGGAAAATCGAAAGGCAACTGGCATTCACCAGTTCCTTCGCTGCCGACAGGTGTTCTTGGTGTCCCCTAAGACTCCATTCACCTTCAGAGTGAGGTCTCACTTCCTTCCAGAGTGGCCTCATTTTCTGGAGTCTTTCTAAAGGATGAGATATCAGTTCTAACACTTCTGCTTACATCCCCAATAGATAGTCTTGAGGAGGCGTCCAGCGTGCAGGCGCTGCATTCTGTAGGCCACTCGCCGACCTATCAAGAAGGAAGAGCTGCTTAGGATACAGGAAGCTGGAGAGAGCGTTACTCCCACCCGACAATAAGAAAAAGCCAGAAAACCTACAAAAGCATAACTTTCCTTGAATCCCTAAGAGAGCTAAGAGGCAGGGCCACCAGATGGCCTGAATTCTCAGGGAAGTCAGGTGCCTCCAAGGAGAGCACTGAGCCACAGGAGGGAGGTGCGGCCAGAGCAGGCAGTGCAAGTTCAGCTAAAACCCTTAACTGATCGCTCAAGGGCAAGGATGGGCTACCATGAGCACAGGGAACTCTGGGAGCTACAAGGATGGATGCTTCAGGCCAACCTTAAGGTTTTTCTCCAAGGACCCACTGGGTGCTCCCGAGGAAGACTGGAGTCAGGAGAAACTTCCCTCACTGAGGCAAGACTGGCAGAGGGGAGCTGCAGCCCTACCCACTAGGGAACAAAAGCCTCACGTTGCTGGGGGAAGGGCAGTAAACTCTGCAGCCTGCAGAGCACAAGTGAAGATCAGTGTAGATGGGAAAGAAAAAGAGAAAAAAAAAAAAACCTCTACCTCTGAATTTGGGGTGTTAAACTTTCCGGGGCTCACACAGTAAGGATCAGCCCACCACTAGGGAAGCAGGGGGAGGGGAACGCTTCTGAGAAAATCCTGCCCCCAGGCCCAGGCCCACAGCGCCTGCGCAGACTGAGGCCGGGTGGGACCACAGAGACCCCTTTTGCCCTTGCCGCCAGGCTAGCTAGTGACGAGCAACAGATGTTTACACTGCGGGTGGAGCAGGCGTGCAGAGACCCTCTCCAAGATGCACAGACCAAACGGAAGCCTTTAGCCAAGGGTTGAGCAGACACTGAGAAAAATCAGCCTCCACCGCAAGCCCAGGGAACCCTAATCTGAAGCCGGTGGATCACAGACAGCAGCCATAGCAACAACAAAATCCAAACCCAGATGAACTCCTGATAAGATCGACCTTCCATGTGCAGGTCCTGGCATAAATACTGTTCACCTCTGTCTCTACTGTACTTGGGCAACAGACACTGTCGGAGCCTAGCCCGTGTCCCCCGGCCATGTGTCGTCTCCCAGCGTCCGCCTGCTGTTCCCACTGCCAGGCCCCGCCCCTGAGGCCTACAAGGCTGGCTGGAGGTGTCAGGTGTTGGTCCCCCCCAGAATAGCCCTCAGCCAGTGATGGCTTTTAGTTGGGGGATAAACACCCCCAGAGGTCTGTAGCAGGAGTCAGCCTCAGTTGCCCCCAGTGCAAACTCACTAATGGGCCATTTCTCAGCTGCCTGTCTTTCCCTGTCACCCCCCATTTCCCTGTTGGTGCTCTCTGGGGTCACCTCCCAAATTAACTACTTGCACTCAAATCCTTGTCTTGGGGTCTCAGCCTAAGACAGCTTCCTACCTTCTGCTCAGGCCCCACTCAGGAGCCCAGGGGTCTGACCCCGGACAGCCACAGTGCTCTCAGATTACTCCTGAAACCCGCCTATTTTCAGGCTTCACCCATCTCCTTCCATCAGGATGACGCACACACAGGAGGCTCCACAGTCTGTCTCATGGTGACCCACCAGGTCAGGACCCCAGACGGGCCCAGATCTGTTGGAATCCCAGCAGGGAACACAGCTCAGCTTTGGCGCTGGTCCCCAGCTGGCCTACCCTGCACAAAGCCACAGGCCAAGGGCCTTGAGGGAGATCACTCAAACCAGTGGACAATCCCTAAGTCTCTGCAATTTGTCAGGGAAAGCCTGGCACAATTTCAGTTTGAAAAATGGTCCTTCTTAGTTTCCTTTTCTGCTGGAAAATCCCTGTTACCAAAGACACTGATGCCAAAAAATATTGACTCTCTGTGCAGGACGCTGAAAAGAAATACTCAGACAGTGTTTTGGAGGAATGAGGAAAATGGCTTTAATCATTGCCTGGCAAAGGGGGTAACATAACAGGCTAGCACCTCAAGAACTGTGCCCCCTTCCCTGGGGAATAGGGAAAGGTTATATAGCCCGGGGCTCGTGGTCTGGGGTAGGTGATGCGGCTCAAAGTAATGAAGGTCTTGCATTCCTTTCCTTCTGCAAATTCATGGCCAAAGCTGGTGTCAGCTCAGCAACCGGGTCTGGTGTCCCTGAAGTTATTGGCCCCGACCTTCTTTCTTTCTTTTTTCTTTAAATAAATTTATTTATTTATTTATTTATTTTTGGCTGCGTTGGGTCTTCATTGCTGCGCGCGGGCTTTCTCTAGTTGCCATGAGCGCGGGCTACTCTTCGTTGCGGTGCGTGGGCTTCTCATTGCGGTGGCTTCTCTTGTTGCAGAGCACGGGCTCTAGGCGTGCGGGCTTCAGTAGTTGTGGCACGCGGGCTTCAGTAGTTGTGGCACGTGGGCTCAGTAGTTGTGGCTCACGGGCTCTAGAGCGCAGGCTCCGTAGACGTGGCGCACGGGCTTAGTTGCTCTGCGGCACGTGGGATCTTCCCGGACCAGGGCTCTAACCCGTGTCCCCTGCATTGGCAGGCGGAATCTTAACCGCTGCGCCACCAGGGAAGCCCTATGACCTTCTTTCTGAAATGAAGAGTGCTATGAGGGAGTGTAGGGGGGGAAGAAATGCCAGATGCAAAGGGTAATTCGTATGGAGTCAGAGAGTAATCAGCTTTGTGAAGGACACGTGTAGCTACAAGTGTGTGTTAGTAGTAACACCTAAAGAATAACCAAGATGGCTTAACTCTTTCAGGCCTGTTTATGCTGTTTCCCAAGCCTGTTCACTGTTTCCTTAGTTTCCTTGTCAGAAACGCCTCTTTTCTATTTCTTCTGCAACAACATTCGAGAGAGTCTGGCCAGGGCTGGCTGGACAAGAATTGTAATTGTTGAACTACTCTATCCCCCACCCCAAATCTCATCAATTTGAAATTGATTCATTATGAAAATTATTTTATCGCCCTGAGCACAGGCCGACTGCTTGAGAAGGCAGCTGGGACAGAGCTGGTGGGCAGCGAGCCAGGTAAAGACTCCAAATCTCCTGGAAATAACCTGCAAAGTAAATGCGAGTTATGGAAAGATGCCCGTCTTCAATAGCAGCAGGAGTTAGGGACTTTGGATCATCTCTTACAGGTTCTTTCAACAATGTCTATGAAAACAGGGGCAGCAGTGTTGCCTTTCTTGAAATAGTGTGTGTATTTTATGTGGTGAGTCACGGGCAGTGTCTTAACCAGAGTAAATATATTTTTAATGTTATTTACTTTGATCTTCTTGTCCCGGGGCGTTCAGAATTGCTCTGTGGGTATTTAGGGTGCCCCAAAGGTGTCCCGGAAGTTGCTGTGGGGACTCAGGAGGACAGACGGTGGGGCTTCTAGGAAACAGAAGCCCTTTCCTCCCTCCCCCAGCCCAGGTGCCATGGACGTCCTGACACCTTGGTCTGCATCCCTCCTGGGCCCGCTGCACTCCCCCCACCTCTGTTTTCCACAGTCTCAGACCAGCCTTGGTCCCTCGAGTCTTTCAGGGGGTGGGTAAGCCAGTGGTGAAGCTGCACTTCTGTCAGAGGGTGAGTGCCCCAGGGCCGAGGGTGAAAGGCGGGAGAGGGCCAGAGACACGGGGGGTTAGTCTGCTTCCCATTTATGTCTGAGGTCTTCACAGATGTCCCATGACAGGCTCTGCCACAGGAGTGGCTCTTGTCAACTTTGGGACCGTATGTGGTCTGGATGAACCTTTCATTGGGCATCCCCTTCCCAGGTATCAGAATATGAGCATTTCTTTTCTTGTGCTGGTAAGATTCCCAAGAAGAATCTTCCTCCTTCTGTTTTGGATGTTATAACCTGGCTGCAGCGTTCTGGTGCCTATCAGTGAAGACTGAGGGTCTCAGCGCTTGTATGGAGACTGTCATTCTTAGCGTGCAGCTCCTGGCTCCTGGTGCCTCCTGGCCCAGAGACCCAACCTCACCAAAAGTAAACCTCCAGGCGTCTGCTGGAGGGGGCTACCTGGGGGTCTACCTGCTTCCTAAATAGACTTCCAGCCAGCCCTCTTGCTGCCAGTCCACCTTAATGCCAACCTCCGGTAGCCACTCCAACGGCCGAGGTTTTGGTGGCCCTAAGGGCAGAGTTACCTCTTTCTCCCCTTCCCCACTGACACCTTAAGATTCAGCTTTCTTGGGACTGCTAAGTGGAACCCCATGTCCATGTGATTTCTGGCTTCTAAATTGTGTTACTCTCATCTTCTCTTCCTGTCTCTTTGTTGATGTGGGTTTAAGCCTTTCTTTAGTCCTTT